TTGATTGTAGCGGTGGCTGGGCTTTCGGTGGGATGCTGTCATTTCCGAAGCATTGTGATCATGTGTGTCCAGCACAAGAAGAATTAGAGCTTATGGAAATATGCCACGAAAAAACGCTTCTAAACTATGCTCCAATGATGTACGTGGCCACGCCTTCCCCGTTTCTGGAATATGAGGCGTAAATACAAAAAGGGATTTCTATAATGTTTTCTTTCTTTGCAGTACTCACGGATGAACAGAAAACCTTCCAATTGGGTACTTTCGTCAGTAGTAGGTTCTTCTTGAGGGATCAGCGGTTAGCAAGTCGGATTCCTGACTGAGGGGTGGGGGAGTGGAACTTAGGTTCGCTGAGAGGTCTGCGCGAATGGAAGGGCGCGAACCAGGAACGAATAGAAATTTCCTTCGCACAGTCTACGAATTTTTCTTGAGATTTGGGGAAGGAATGGTGAGGGGGAGAATGATGTTGTACGAGATGGTATTCGACACGCCCTGATATGAGAGCATGGCCACGGAGCGGCCGGCCTCTTTTTTTTGTTGAAGTCGCAGTCCTAAATGTTGATAAAGCCAGCTTTCAAGACAGTGCCTTAGGTGAGCTGCTCCCCCCAGCGAACACAGCTTTGTATGCAGTTGTAAATGTAATGGTGACCGTATTCGCGATCATTTATAGCCTCCATTGACCGATTTGCGGCAGAAGTTCATTGAGATGGTGCTCCCAGTGTTTATTCATCATCACACAAATGCTGTATCGGTACTCAATGTTATATGGAACAGTGAGGTAGTTTGGAACATTTTTTTACATATTTTTTATAGACCAGTCTTCTATATCTGCTGGGGACATCCTTGAACGAAGTTCTCGGATCTTTTGGGACGAGCCCACCCGAACTCGACACTAATTACGGGTTTCAAATCATAACGCTGAGCTACGGTTGACACCGTAGCTCAGCGTTATGATTTCATGTCTACAATGAATCGCCTGTAAATCGTATGGCTGTGATAAGACCCCCCCCCCTTAGAAACCACAAGGATCAGGGAAGGCGAATCTGTAATGTTCGTCCAGAAGCACGTTTTAAGGTGTACATCTCGTTTGAAAATACCATTTCACCGTACCACCCTTTCCTTCTTAGGCCACGTTCATACTATGCGCTGAGGAGATTCGACGATTTGAGAGTGGATGCGTATCGATCGACGCACATTCGAATCGCCGAATCGTCTTTCAAATCTCCGGATTGCTCAATCTCCCCAGTCGCCAGATCGATACCTATACTTTCCTCTTTGCGCAATCTCTCGAATCGCCGTGTCTCCCAAATCGCCGAATCTCCCTAATTGCCAAATCTCCTCAGTCGCAAAGTGTAAACGTTGCCTTGGAGGTGCTCTAAAGAATTGCCTCCACTTTTTCGACTAGTGGAAATGCTTCAAATGTATGTCCACGCTGCCTGCCATTATGTCCCTTTTTCGTCCTTTTACCTCCTTTCCTTTTTCTTTGTGCTCGCGAAGGGTGGAATGTCCACAGTAAGGTATCGATCGTGAAAGAAAGTTCGCATACAAATTGCTATGGCGGCAAAACTAGAGGAATGGTTGCACGAAAGATTTCTAATAACTCGAGCATTACTCATCAACGACTACAGGTTCTGCCTCGCACGACAGTTCACAACATGATTATCAACGCGTTTCTGGCGTTTCACTCGAAAGCGCCCGACGATCAACAAAGACTGGCCAGAATTCTAGATGTAAGTGTTCTCGCACTCTTTTTTTTCATATTTTTGTATGTTGTTTAAAAGCGACTTATCAGATTGCAAATGAACTGAAACCGGGTGGTTTGGCTGAACTGTTCAGTTGTCCTCATGTGCCATTTATTGTCGAAATGGGTTTGTTAGCATCAAAACGGGACTATTTAAAGCTGGATAAATGGTTGGAAGACAAGTTTGCGGAATTGGGAGTGAGTTTGGTGAACAGAATTTTTTTTTTTTCTGCTCAGAAGTTGTAACTATAGGATCCTCTTGTGGACAATGTTATCGGTCAGCTACAGCGACGTCTTTTTGTGCCAGCCACAAGCCAGTCGCTTTCACCGGAGACGTTCTCGATAATGATGACGTTTCTACGGAATCATTCCACGAAATTGTCGCCGTTGTCGAAACAAAAGTTCATCGCACTGACTGAGAAGCTCAAGGAGATCCAACAACAACAAGTGGGTCTCGCTCGGTTACAGACGAAGGTTTCATTCCGTTATAGATGGACTCGGCCTGTGAAGGACGAAAGCTGAGAATGTGAAGAGTACATAAGATCAATTTATAGGCAAGTAGTCGGGCTTAATTGTACCTCTGCCTTCAAGAACTGGTTTCTCCGTGCTCGACGAAACCTTTGCTCTCTAGGATACTTTTTCTTGTCTATTTCTTTTACTAGTTGGGCTTACTCAAATCATCGAGGACTTGGAAGCCTTTTTTCTGAAACGTTTGAAAGAAACGGCCCGAAAATTGAGCTCCACTCGACTATTAGAGTGTGTTCATACTTTGCGTCAGCTTTTTAGCGTTTCGCGAGCAACCGCTGAAAGCGCGGGCGTATGATCAAAAGCTAGGTCGATATCTATACTATCCTAGTCGCTAAGAACACTGACACAAAGTATAAACGCAGCCCAAAGGTTTGATGGTATACGCGTGCTAAACATTTTATTTTTCCGTTCTGAGATATTTTCGAGAGGAATTTCGGTTCAACATCGCCTCGCTCTCGCCCCCCCCCTCCTAGAATATCGGGAACTAATACCACTGAGGGGGAGGGGGCATTGGAAGAACACGTTCTGCTGTAATGGGATTGACGTCTT